CTTTGGGGGGTGGAGGCATTGAGCAAAAAAGGAAAAGAGAAAAAGCTCATGGACATGGACAACAGTGTGTTGATTGCCTGGGGAGGGGAGGTCGGGGGAAGTGGAGGAAGGTATAGGGGGAGTAAATGGTGAAGGAAGGAGACTTCACTTGGGCTGGTGAACACACAATACAGTGTACAGATGATGTATTGTGGGGGGGGAATGTGGAACGACTGGAATCATTGTTGGTGGGTATATAAAATAGCACAACCACTTTGGAAAAAAGTTTGGCATTTTCTTTAAAAGGTAAACATTTTTTTCTACTACATGATCCAACCATTCTGCAGTTATGTATTTTTGCATAAAAATGAAAGTGTATGTCCATACAAAGACTTGAACCCAAATGTTCATTGTGGCATTATTTGTAATAGCCCAAAATTAGTAACAACCCGAATTTCCATCTACAGGTGAGTGGATGAACAAATCCATGCAATGGGATTCTACTGAGGAATAAAAAGAAGTGAACTATTGATATACTTAACAAAATGGATGAACTTAAAAATATTTATAAACTTTAATCCCAATAAAATTAACCCAAAATATATTATGAAAAACAAAATATGGATACTGTACAATACCATTCATATAAAATTGTAAACATGAAAACTGGGAGCCTGCTGATGGGGGTAGGAAGAAAGTGGTTGAGAGAGAAGATTACAAACAGGCACAAGGCAACTTTGGGGGGGCAATGAATAGCCATTATCGTTATTTTGGTGATAATTTCATGGGTGTGTACACAGTCAAAACCAACAATTTGTATACTTTAAATATGTTCATTTCATTCTATGTCAATTTTACCTCAATAAAGTTGGTTTTTTTAAGGTAAGAAGATCTCCAGTTTCTCATCTCTTTAAGTAAATGCACAGGAAAAGATGAAAAGAGAGTAGCAGGAACCATTAGAAATACAAATTTAAATCTTCTTCTGATTCCATATGGACAACACATAGATCTAAAATAATGGGACTTACCTTTTCTCCCACATACAGAGACTGTAATGCTATTATGTGACTCAACTAGACGGTGGAGTTTTACAGATTGCTGAAAAGAAGGGAAAATAGAAAAAGGCTTATTTATTTCAGGATAAGTCCCAGGTATTATTCAGTAAAGCACTAGCCTTCTTTAAAGATGGAGCACTATGTTGTGTCTTGTGGCCAACTGAATGTACTGGGTACAAACAAGACTGAGTAGCTTATTACTGAATTATCAAAGCATTCAACTTGTGCTCTTCACTCAGCAATTAGAAGTACGCATTCTTTAGTGGAATTTCCCAGCATGCTCTTCCACTCAACAGAAGTTTTGATATCCATCAATTTGTGTTTAGTTTTTAAATAGATAAATACTATCAAGAACTTTGATCATTCAGATATATGTTTATACTAAATATCTTCGAGAACTAAGAATTATTTCAGTTTTGGGACATCCCACATTAGAGTTCTTAATCTATAATTTTTAAGGAGTTTGGTGGTCCATACTATTTGCTTATAGTATATATTGTTCTAATAGTGAAATATATGGTACATTAAGAGTGAATCAATGAAAGAAGACAAAAGAAAAATATAATAAAATTATATTTGATTTCACATTTATTAAGCAATTTTGTGTGAAAGACCTTTTACCTGGTTTGAGGGGTGGGGGATTGTTAAGGTCCCCATCGTTAGTGTGAGTGTGTTTATTCTGATTTTGTCATTTAAGACACTCTCTAAATCTCCTAGTTTTAAATCATTTAAAAGTCTGATCAATATGTCCTAAGAATGATTAATAGAATAGATAAAGTCAAAGACAGAGTATTCTGCTATTAATTCATTTCTTTATTTATTCATACATTCACTCAACATTTATCGAGCAACCTTTATGCTCCCAGGACTATGCTAACAGTCAGGGACACAATAAATGGTCACCAAAAAAATTTTGTTTCTTACAATCAAGAAATTTACAGCCTAATGGGATAAATATATTTAATCAAATAATTATATATATAAATGTATCATTATAATCAGTAATAAGAGGGAAGAAACAAAAGGTGATTTTGGAGCATATATAGCCAATGGAAGCAGTAGCAGTCTTTCTTGAAGAAGTGACATTGAATGAAACAGGTTGTCCGATCAGAGTCTGGAATTCAAAAGAGGTATTTGGACTTGAGATATATATAAATTTAGAAGTCATTAGCATATGCCTTTAGAAGTCATTGATATATGTAGCTGTAAAAATAATGAAAAATCTCTCAATGTACTCATACGAAAAGCCCCTCGAGACATATTATTAATAATAATAAAGCTAGGTAAAAAATAATACAATTATGTTACCTTTACATAAGAAAAAAAGAAAAGCAAAATGTATATATTTGTATTTGCTTGAATTGCCTAAGTTTTTTTTTGGAAGAATGTACACAAAAAAACTAATAAAAGTGATCAAACAAGTGGAGGGGGAGAGGAAGATGGAACACACATGGTATGCAAGGTGGAGTATGCACCTCATTGCATATATTTTCACGTTGTTTCGAGATGCCCACTTTTTAAAACTCCAGGTGGGGGAGGGTAAACTATAAATCAGAATAGAAAAGAGCAATTAGAGAGCATGGTGAGTGTGTTGTCAGTGAAGCCAAAGGGGAAGAGTACTTGGTAAAGAAGCACTGGAGCTGTTAACTGGGTCAAATGCAACCAAGAAATTTGGTGAGATCTGTACTGGGAGTAAAAGTGTCCACTATGGGAAGGGGACCATAAAATCAGCAAGCAAACGACCAACAACCCAGCAAAAATTAATGGAGCACAGAAATTCAGTTCATAGCAAAAGAAAAGCAAATAGCTTAAAACATGAGCAAGTGCTCAGTTCATAGTGGAAAACATGCTATTAAATTAATGGGATTCTATTTTTGCTTATATTGGCAAAGATAAGGAAAACACTCATCTACTGTTGGGAGAGTGTAAACTGGTATTGTTTAAGGAGTATTTGGGCAACATTTATTAAAGTAATATACCGAAATCATGATTAAGTAATTTCCATTATATAAATTTTATATCTTCATATCAATATAGATATAAACAAGCACACACATATACATCTGTTATATACATATATACTTTTATGTGATATAAATTGTATACTTGTAATTTATATATATTTATACATACACATACTCGTAAATGTGTGAAAAGATATATGTGCAAGAATCATCATTGCTACATTGTTTTAATAGCAAAAAACTAGAAACAACCTAATACTCATTAATATAAAACTGGTTTAAAAATTGTGGTACACCTAAATAAAATATATTTGTGCAGATATGGAAAGATATTTAAGATTTATTCAGTAAAAAAATGCAAGTGCAAAACAGTATACATGGTGTATTTCCATCTGTGTAAAACAAATTAATGCATATGTTTTTAATATCACTGAAAGTATACAGAACATCTGGTCCCAGTAGATGCCTCTTGAAAGGGAGCCTGGACACTGGGAGAACTAAAGTGGGAGGAATATTTACTTTTCATTTATACTGTTTTATTCTGTTTGAAATTTTTTAGCATGTCCATATATATTACTCCTTCTATTAAGAAAAAAATAACTAGTTAAAAAAGAAATTAAAAAAAAAAAATTAAACTATCTCTGAGCCTTAAGATCATAGTGGTGACCTTAACAAGGGTTGTTTAATTAGAGGCATGAGAGAGGAATCCAGGTCAGTAAAGGTGAACAGCGAGAGGGAGGTGAGTAAATAATGACAGTGTGCATAAAGAACTCAGGAAGTTTTCCTGTAAAAGGCAGAAGAGAGGTAGAGTCATAGCTGAAGGTAAAAGAATGGTCCAGAGAAGGGATTGTTTCATTTGTTTGATTTTTTTTTTTAAGTTGGGAATGTTTTTGAGTATGGGAGAAGTTTAAGTGCTGATGAGAATGACCTTGTGGAGCAGGAGCAAGAAGGGGTCATCTGTTGACTGAATAAGCCCTCTGAGAAGGCTGGAGAGGATGCTATCTCCCGACAGGCAGAGGGCACTTTCTCCCCTGTAATGAGAGATCAAGGCAGGATGGGGGCGGACACAAGGGTCATGTGGCAGTTGGAAAGTGGGGAGTTGAGCAAATTCCTGTTTTATGGCTTCTACCTTTATGAAACAAGCAGTGAAATTAACTGCTGAATCAAGAGGAAAAATGGAACATGGGCAGCTAGGCATCTCAGAAACTTGAAGAGAGATTTGGTTTGAAACCTTAATTTCAAAGAATGAGAGCAGAGACATATAGAAAGATTGCCCAGATGAGGTTGGCATTCATGGTTTACAGCAATCAACCAATCTGCTTTATTGGATTTTTTTCCAACAGCTCCTACATCCGCTGGTGTAACATAAAGAAAGCCATGATATCAATCAGAGCTTTGACAAGTAAGCACCAACAAACATAAAAAGCAAAGAAGTTAATATTATACAGAGACTCTTCCACCTTCCACTCTCCTTCCACCATCTTCAACATCTATCCAGATTCTCCACATATATTTTTTCATTTATTCACAATTCATAAATCTTTACATAGGCTTCTGGCTGATCTGCCTGAATAAGCCAAAGAGAGGGCAAAAAGAACTTGAAAGTTTAGGAATTGGGATGTGAGAGAAGAGAAAGGACCAACAGCTGTTGAGCACCAGCTACTGTGCTAGATATTTACAAATGTGCTCTATTTATTATGGAGTGGGCAAGGACTATTTCCTGATTGTCCTTTCTATCAACATTTCAATAAAAGTATTACTGCTCTCTTTCGGAGACTGCAAGACTGGTGGAGAAACTTACCACTCTGAGATCATATACTGCCAGAGCCATGGAAATGATGGACATCAGTATAATGGCAAACGCATATTCCTTATAGTCTTCACTAAACCACAGACAGACGCTGAAGAGCTGAAATACGTAAAATGGATTTAAAACCTGTTGGCGGACACAAAAACAAGGGACATATTTAGGCTTCACACTTAGCTATTCATTGACATTTATTTTCATAATCATCTCTATGACATAAAACATCCCACACAATACTCTTATTCTTATTATATTATTCAGCAATTGCCATGTGCCAAACACTGCACTAAGCAACTTCATCTGAATTTGCTCTTTTAGTTCCCCTAATTATCTTTTTAACTAGATGTCATTACTTATCTCCATTGTAAAGATGAAGAAACTGAAACTTAGGTCTTGAGAAACTTGCCCAACGTCACGCAGCTGTGACTATCACAGACCAGGATTTGAACCCAGGCAATCTGGCCCCATGGCACCTTTTTTAATCACTGCTACCCTAATAACTTACCAAGTAGTGCCTCACATATCCTCTGTTGACCATCACAACAGTTGTGGAGGGAGTAGACATGATAATGTGGACATTTGGGAGGGTGAAGTATTAGTTCAGGTTTATAAAGTTAAAATGCTTCCCAGTCTGCTGTTTTCTATGACACAATATCTGCCATAATTGAAGCCATTAAAGCACTTTTAGATGAATGGATGGGTGGAAGATGGTATTTCCTCATAAGTAAAGAGCCAAATGGAAAGTAGTAAGCTGTAACTGAGCATCCAGAACTCTGGGAGAAAGTGGAAGCCAACTCCAACTGTTGTAATCCTGCTTTGGTTGAAAAGGTTTGTGCCCTCATTCAAGTTCCCACCTGTCTGAAACAGGAACGGTGATCTTGCCTCCGGTTAGGGACGAAGCACACAGCAACTTTGCCTACCACTTTCTCTTGCTTTTTCCATGCCTGAAAGCTTGCTAGAAATATTGAGAACGTACTTTGAATTTATAAGCTTTTTTTAAGGTAAGGAGGGGTGGAGGTGAAGTGCAGGAGAAAATCCAGAATATAGCTATATAGATATAGGTTCATAATAATCACTATTAAATGAAAAAATAAGCCCAGTGATAGAGCCAAAGAGGAAAAATTCAGCTCCAGAAATGATGGCCAACTCTTCTTTTCCGTCCGCACACACTTTGAGATCAGTAGAACTAAGAAGGCCGAACAGGTATTTTTCTTTCCTACAATTTTGGATGCTGAAGAAATTGTATATGTTTCACATAAGAAAAGATAGGTTTTCAAATTTTTATTATTTTTTTTTGTTTTACAAACTTGAGACAGACTAAGAAGCAAAGACTTAAAAAGAAAAAGAATTTGTGTTTATCTAGTCAGTAGGAGGTTAAGTAGACACATGAGCATCTTATACTGTGTCAGGCAATGTGTGCAAAAGATGGACTTCAAGAAAAGTTAGAAAGAGATATAAAGAAAATATGCTTGTCATTCTTTGAAAATATCCCAAATTACAGTTACCTATTAACAAGTAGCATTCTTGATCGTTTGACTAGAACCAAACTTCTTTATTTTCTATCCAGCAGCAAAAGAAAGGAATATTACCTCCTTGATGAGTAGTTTCCAAATTGGTGTGATTTCAACATCAATAGTATTACGCCCACAGGTTAACCTCCTATAGGGAGAGATCATAGATCACTCAGTTGCTAATAATTAAAATGAAACTCATTTCTTGCCCATTCAAAAAGAAGATCTATTTCATGTTCACTTTCTCACTTTGGGATCAACGTAAGTCTCCCTCATTATATACACTCCCACTCTTCTCAAAATAACTGGGGAGGGGAGGATACCCAGGTTCCAAAACAATAAACATAATCGTATTGCATCTATTAAACCAAACTCTGAGGTCTAAATATTTCCCTCAGGGTAATTTGGGTATTTAATATTAGCAATTGTCTCATTCAAGTGTTTCAAGATTGGCATTCTCTCAACTCTAATTCTCACCAACTCTGGCTCCGTAGAAGTGGGAAAGAGGGGTCAATAGGAGAGAGAAATTCTACTGATAAGGAATACTGTGCCTACCTTCTTACTCCCAATCAGTTCTAGAAAGCTGCAAAATTTGTTCTATTGTGAGTGAAAATGTGTTGTGTTCTCAAAAATAGCTCTACACAGAGTTATACAGTCCTCTAATTGAAAACCCAGAGATGTGTTTCTTTAATTATCACAGCAATGACCCTTTATGAGTTATTTTGCTCTTGAGAACACTAACCACTGTCTCTGTGCCTTCTGTGTAGACGCTCAAATCAAATAGCTTGGCCGAACATACTAGAGCAGTGCTTCCCAAACTTCAGTGTTCATATGAATAAGTTTGTGATCTTGTTAGTATAAAGATTCTGATTCAATAGGGGTGAGATATGATTTTGCATTTCTAACAAGCTTCCAGGTGATGCTGATACTGCAAAGTTCTAGGTCTATTCCAAGGACAGGAAATGGGGTGGAGGGGAGTGTGAGAATCATAGGAACTTAGGACCAGCAAGGCCTTTATAGAGTTTTCCTTCCCCTTTTAACCATTAGGAAACTAAAGCCCAGAGAGGAGAAACTATTTGCTCAAAGCCACACAATGAATTAGCAACAGAATCTTAATATTCAGTCCATTGCCTTTCCTAAAACTTCTCCTCTGCCCAGTAACTGACTTGGAATTGTGGAGCTATGGGTCTTGCATGACATTCTTCTGCTGCTTCACAATTATTTTTAAGTATGTTCTCGTAGTCTAACATATATTTCCTAATTGCAACAAAAACGGGCTCAACCTTATTATTATAATAACCTTGTGAAGACTTGTGTGAGATAGAAAGAGCACCAAACCTACAGTCAGAAGTGTGAGACTTAGTTCTTTCTCTGTCATTTCCCGTCTGTGTGATCTTGTGCAGACCACTAAACCTCTCTGAGCCTCAGATTTCTCATCTGTTATGTTGGGATGACCAGTCTGTCCATTCTACCTGCCTCACAAAGCTTCTCTAATAAAGTGAAATAATATACGTGAAAACATTTAATTTAGTACTACTAAGTAGAGCATTACAATGTTTTCTGATATTGACCCATTAAGGTGACCATTAACTGGCTGTCTATTTGGCTACCTGGTCAGAGTCCTATAGAACAGGTGTAGATAACAGTATGCATGGTACCTAATCTCTTGTTCTTCTCTTGTTAGGCCTGATCCAAATTTTAGATGTATCTTGGCAGAACTGAGCCACTCTTCCAGAGAGCTAAAATAATAATGAGAAAGACATATTTAGGAATAATATTTTTGAGATAACATCTTTTCTTCTTTGGATGCAATTGCTGAAACAACTTACCCAATTTTCTGGAACTGTCCTTCTAAGTTGTTCCAAACATATCTTATTTTCTGCACTTTTATGCACCTCACCTACAAAAGAAAAGTATTAAGAAAATCTCTAGTTTGGGGATCAGCAAATATACAGAAGTTCAACAGCTAAAGAAGCATTTGTGGAAGAAGCAAAGATAGAGCCCTACTATACTTATTTAAGATTTCATCTTTTCCTAACTTATCCTATCCTTCCTACTACACAAATGGCATTTGTCTGGCCGGCTTGGCTCAGTAGCTGAGTGTCGACCTCTGAACCAGGAGATCACAGTTCAGTTCCTGTCAGATCACATGCCCAGCTGCAGGCTCGATCCCCAGGAGGCAGGAGGCAGCACATCAATGACTCTGTCTCATCACTGATCTATCTCTTTCTTCCTCTCACTTCCTCTCTCTGAAATCAACAAAAAGGAGGAAAAAAATTTTTTTAATAGAATTCTAATTTCATTAGAAGTCATCATTCTATCAACTTGTATCATGGACCTACTATATGGATAAGTACATGAATAAAACTCAGTCTCTGCATTTCACTACCTTTTAGCCTAACAAGGAAAGAAAATATACTATAAAAAAAGGAAACTATACCATATCATCAAATATGCACAAGTCAAAGACATAAAAATATAATAAAGTAAAAAATATAGCATTGAAATACTGTAGACATATGGAGAGGGCAGGTGACAGAGGCATCATGGAGAAGATGACATCTGAGCTACAGCCATGAAAGACTGGAAGAATTTTGCTCAGATGAGAAGGCAAGAGAGCATTTCAAAGATCTTATGCACAAGTTAGTTTTGGGGGAGGGGCAAGTGAGTTGGCCTGTTTGAGGAATGGAGAATGAGGGTGGAAAGATAAGTAAAGATCAGATTTTACTGCCCTAAATGCTAGAATGAGGTAGTTAGGACTTTGTCTTAGAGGCAATGAACTTGCAGAGTAACGTAAAGAGGGGGCACTAAAAAAGAGAAGGCTGGCAGCAGGTACTAGAAAAGAGTGGTGAGGTTACTGCAAGAAGTGCTCCAGGAAGGGAGGGTCTGAAGGTGGTGGCAGTGGGGAGGGAAGGTTAATGCTTATGACAATTTTGCCCCTTTGTTTCTGATTTCTTTAAACAACTTTGTATATGAATCTGAATTTGCATTAACTGGTGACCTAATTAAGGACAAAGAAAAGCAGTGAGACTGTCATATTGCTATGGAGGAATGGTTATAACCTCATTTTGCCCATTAGAATCAACTGAGGAGCTTTGAAAAAGTAGTGATGCTGGGTCCCAGCCCCAAGAGATTCTGATTTCATTTGTCTGAGATGTGGCCTGGGCACAAATATGTTTAAATTTCCTCAGGTAATTCTAATGTGCAGCCAAAGTTGAGAAACAGTGTTCAAGACTTCCTTTTATAGCTACTCTAATAATTGTGTACTTGAGAAATTCAACTAAATTTCTCTGCACCTCAGTTTCTCTGAGGATAAGCAAGGCAATTGGACAGACTGTTTCTGAGTTCCATTGCAACTCCGCTGAATGTCTTCTATATCTATAAATATTAGAGTCAGTATAACCATTAAATAAATACTAAAACTGGGAAGGGCATATAGCTGGTACCTAATAATGCTCAATACATTTTTTATTAAATCAAAAAATGTTTTGTACAACCACATGTCAACAGAAGTAGAGTTTAAATCCCTCATCTCTAAGACCTGGGTTACCTCAAATGAATCTGAACCCTGTTCAATAAATGCATATGTTTACACACACACACACACACACACACACACACACACACATTTTTAGTTACCAAGTAAGAATGTTAAATGCTGTTTTTTGTTTTATTTTACAGAATTGGTTTATTTCAGTGAGGTTGGTTGCATAATAGCTTTTAAAAATAAATTCCATTTGCCAAGTGATTTCCAGTATCAAATTGGAATTAATTGTCACTGGGAAGGATTCTTCCTCCTTCACAAGCTGCAAGTTAGAATGAGGAAGAGTATTTGAAAGTAATCAGCCTGCTGTATGTTAGCTGTAATGGCCCTTCTTTGAAACTCAAGTTCCTTGCCTTATATTTCCCTTTCTGTTCAGTACTCCTCACAGTTTTATAAATGGAGCTGGACTGTGACCGCAGTTATTGCTTATTTACTTAGGGGCTTTTCACAGCTTATGTTTAGTCTCTTTCATCACCCTGTGGTTGGACAGATACTATTATCCTCTTCGCTTCACCTCCAAAGTTCATTTGGATTAAGTAACTTGCCCAAGATTGGACCTGTTAAGAAGCAGGGCTAGAATTCAATCTCAAGTCCACCTGGCCCCAAATCCAGTTTCTCAAATGATCTAATAGTCAAGCTAGTCTCAGAAGGTCTGAAAATCCCATAACTTCCAAGATTCAAATTATATAAAGGGAGGGTTCCCCACTTCATTAAGTCTTTAAGTTTCAAATCCACGTTGGAAAAATTTTAAAGGATAAATGATGGTAGAATGTTAGGCCCCTGCCGAGAACATAGCTCAGGAGGTTGTGAAACCACAAACTGAGATTGAGAAGTTTATAAAACCTAATGGACAAAAAACATCAGCAGAGGAAGGCAGCAATAATGAGGAATAAAGAGGTTACTGATAAGTTTTACCTCAGGCCAGAAAAAAGAAAACTCCATTAACTCCTGACCATTTCTAAAGCCATTCTTCAAAGAGTAAGAAGAATGACTCTGCCGTAGACCTTTTAAATACCTTACAGATCCCCCTAGCAGGAAATAGCTCTGCCTAGAGTTTCTCTGCTTCCCTCATCACCTTCTGAGGCTCTAGGCTAGAGGCTGGTGAGGGGTAAGCGTTGTACTTGCAAGGGGTGGAGTTTATTTGCCCTTCCTGGAACCCGAGACCAGGATATAGTAATCAGGAGATCAGGGCTCTGCTGCGGGGTGAGTTTCATCTCTGGCTCAGAGGCAGGCAGCTTCCCTCTCCCCAGCTTCCTGCTCATTTCCTGCAGGCCTGTAAGGGCACCCCATTTAACAGGTTAAGCCCTGGCTTCAGTACTGCATGCGATCCTGCAAGGTGGCTCTTAGAGCCTGCTCTTAGCTTGCGTTGGCAAACTTGACCAAGTTCTTGGCTGCAGTCTCCAAGCTCACCTTAAACAGCCCTGAACGTTTATCATTTTAGTTTTGTTATCGTTATTTCCATCCGAGTTGTCAGCCTGCTCCAATTTTAATGAAAGTTTCAGTCCTTTATGAATATGGCTCATTACAGTTCACAAGTCACCTTAATATCCACCCTCTTTTTTTAAGTTCAAATAGCCCTGAGCAACAGGCAAAGATGGGGTTATCACTCATATTTTACAAATAAGAAACTCAAGGCTCGGAGCAGCAGAAACTAGCCAGACTCCCCACGCCTTGTGTTGCTAAGTGAGGATGTCAAGCCTGGGGGCCAGAATGTTCTGCTTCAAGCCCTCTGCCCCTCCTCACATTTGCCCTGTTTCCAGGAGCATCCCTTTGCTTGTTTGTCCCCTTATTTCAGTTAAAGGTGCCCGAGGTTAATAACACTCTGAGAGCCTGTCTGTAAGGCTGATTTGGGATGCCTGTTTCTCCAGGTGAATGGCCACCTAATGAATTAAGCAGTCTGTTAGTTGAAGCTGCTTGACCTCTTTTGTTTTTGTTTGTTTGGGCAGTTAAGGTAATTGGGTAAGAACAATCAACAGTACAGAAACTGTTCAACAATTGACAGTTATTATTTTTTTTAATTGAGCTTGAGCTCACAAAACTAAGTTAAACAGCTATCTACACATATATAAATTTAAAATGGTCTCTCTTATAAAAAATGTTTTTAATATGGATGCTCATGAATCAGAGTCCATGTAGTACTTATGCGGTACGGAAAGGTGGGAGGAAGGCAAATACATTTGAATAACAGGTCCAAAGTAAGGTCATCTTGCAGGCCCAGGAACTCCCTGGGGTATTCCTGGGTGGTCGCCTTTACTGCAGAACACACTCTGTCACGTAGATTATTATGCAGGGCTTGATGCTACTAAGAGCTACTCTGTAGTGAGCATCTACTATATAATGGCACCATATTAAACTTTGTATTCCCTAATTTGTTAAATTTCATCAATTAATATTAGAGGTAGGCAGAGTTTAATAATCGATCCAAGGTTGTCATCAAGGTTGCACATAACCATTTATAATGTTCTACACTGTCAATTGATGGTTAGCACAGTGGAGGATCTGAATTTGATCTTACATTTTGGGAGAAAAATGATTAAATTTTTCTAGCATCAGCAGTAACTATGAAGGTACTTACCTTTAAGTCTGGCTTTCTTATGGCTCTATTTATGAGACACTCCTCATCTGCAATGAGAGGGTGGTCAGGAGTGAGACCAAACGCGCTGTTTAATGCTGACAGGTAGATCCACATTACCTTTTTTCGAAAGTAGGTTTGGAATTCATCCTGAGGAAACAGACACCAAAACCCCCGTGAAGTTAAGAGAAGTCATCAGGCTAAAATTCAACCTAAAAAACATCATTTTAATATAACTCTATATGTTTGTGGAGCTAATCAATATTCTGGACAGAATTATATACCTCTGAAAGCTGGCAGATATAGAGCCTTGAGGAAAACAGCCTTATTGTCACTCACTGAGGATGTGAATGGGAGGCACTGGCACACACAACAGAGCTCGAGGGTCGAGAGGCAGATTCTTAGGTAAGAACTGGTTTTCCCTGTTACCCTCCAACCATGGGGCTGTGGCCAGATGCAAAATTTCACAGGAAAATAGAGCAAGTATTCCTAAGGGTTTCTGTGAACCTCTGAGGGGGAGGAACCCAGGTCATCTAAACCCTGCCCACGTTTCCAAGCTTAACTTCAATTCTACCTCTTCCAGAACAGCCCCTTTAATACTCACTCAAGGGCTGGAGATGGGGGCAGCAGTGGGGGAAAGACACAAGGACTGTCACTATACTAACTCCAAAAGATTCTAACTGTCCCTCTCCTGTGCTCCTAAGCACTGTCTGCTTTGTATTCTCTTAGTTCATCTAAACGATCTTGTAGGAAAAAACCCTTATATCTCATTCATGTGGACAATGGCAACCTGCTCAGTGACAGTCTGATGAATGGATGGAAAAAAGACTGAATGCATGGACTGAACATTCCCAAAGGTAATTGTCAAGATGTCAGCATGAGTAGGACTGAAAAAGGTGCCTTCTTTCGTGACCTTCATTGAAGCTGCTTCCCTTTGCAATTTACTGATGACTTTCATCACAGAAGAAAACTAGAAGGGGCAGCGCTGGATTGAGTAACAGGTACCACAATGGTCCCTTAGAGACTGAGGTGATAATAACAGTGGTTATTATCTGAAGTGGTTATTATCTGAAGAGGATTTTATGATACACATAAAATTCACGTGGATGCCTGGTGAACCACAAGAGCTAGGAAGGATGGCAGGGGGAGTCAAGCCTGGGAAACAATATGATGCCTGGAGAGTGTAGGTCAGAGCTGGGAATTATCTCCACAACACCCACTTTTTAAAGTACAGTGTCTGAGCTGACTCTGCAAAAGACAGAGAGAAGATATAGTAGTTACTGTAGCTAAATCTCTTACACCAGCTCTCCTCGAGAGAAGCCCACCTACATGCCTTTGCTCCCGCTGCTTCCTTACCCTGGAATACATATCATCCTTTCTTCTCTTTAAGTTTCCATGTGGCTAGATCCCAGCCATCCATTCAGGGTCCAATTCAAAGTTTGGGGACCTCACTAATTTCCCTGGATGACCTTTCCCCTAAACCAATAGGGTGCCAAGTTTCTTACCACATTGCACCTCCATTGCATTGCCCTTTGCCTGACCAGCCCCCTTGGACTGTGAGCGGGGCTGTGTTCTGATGCATGTCTGTGCTCCAGCCAGGTTTAGCACAGGTTGTGTGTGTGTGTGTGTGTGTGTGTGTGTGTGTGTGTGTGTGTGTGTGTGAGAGAGAGAGAGAGAGAGAGAGAGAGAGAGATAGGAAGAAGGGGGAAAGCAAAGCAGAGGGAGTGGGGAAGGGAGGATAAAGGAAAGGAAGAATGGAACGCCTTAGTTGAAATCTGAACGTTAACAAATTAATTTTAAAAAACAGCAGAATTATCTACTATCTCATATTTTAAAAGATCACTAAATCAAATCAAATTTGTATGGAATTAGTTTCCAAACTTTGAATGACTGAAGAACGCTAAATTTTGAATGACTGGGCCACTGAACTGATGGATAGGTTCTAGGTGCTGCGAGCCAGGTGACTTAGAAGATGCCTCAACATGGTTCAGCATTACGGAGCTTTGCCTTTGGCCGCATCAAATGGGGCTTTGTTATGAGAAGAACTTTGAGTTACTAATAATGACAATAATAAAAATAGTTAATATTGATTTAGTACTTACTATGTCCTAAGCACATAATACTACATATGTATTATTTCATTAGTGCTCAAAAACCTTATGATGTGGCTACTACTGTTCATTATCTTCCTCATTCTGTAGGTGAGAAAACTAAGAAATAGAGGGTAAGTGTTAGAATAGAGATTGGACCCCCACCTCACACCACTTACCCCCTCCAGAGTCCCCTGTGACCCTCTCCTCCACATTTTGTTTAAAAATACAAATTTATTGGACTGCCTGAACTGGGACTGCCAAAGAACAAACTTTAATGAAAAACTTGGTAATAAAACACATAATTTGTAGGTAAATGGGAACACAAATTATAAAAGCACCATCAAGACCAGAGACCTCTGGCCACCAAGTATGGACAACTAGGAAGACAGCTACACTTGGTCCTCTTAAGTAAAATAATGTTAACTACTAATTTTCATATGATTACTTAGTATTTTATAAAACAAACTTTTTGTGTCAGTTATCTTATTTTAGGCTCAATTCTTCAAAGTTGGTATTATCATCTGTCTCTATTTCACACATGAGAAAACCCTCCATGAGCAAGGGTAAGAACTGCTCAGGCCAGCCTGGTGTGGGTAGCCAGGGAGAACTGGGGTGTGAGGCCAGGGCTTCCCATTCTAGATCTTGGCTTCTTCCTTTTACTTGCAACAAGTTGTCCCATGGCGTTCATGTATGAAAATCACTTTGAATTGTGCACTGTGTAGCAAATAGCACCCAGTTTCTCAGAATCTCTGCTGTCTTGGCAACAGAGAATCCAAGTCCCAAAATCAAACTGTCATCCTATGATAGACTTCTAGACTGTAATGCTTAAGAAGGAAAAGCCAGAATGGAACATTGGAACTCCCAAGCTCTCAAGGCCAGTGTTAACCCAATGCCTCAGCTACATGCATTAGCCTAGGTGAGTATTAAAGACACATTCATCAATACACCTCCATCTTATACAGCTTGTAGCATGACTAATTGGAAGGTGCTTGGGTATGTTTGCCTTTAAGCTCACTGTCATCCCCTTGACCCCCTGGGGCCATGTAATTCCTAATTCCTTGTAATGCAAAGTAGAATTCCATCATCTAAATAAAGATACCACAATGAGGCAACCATTTTTCTTAGAGTAAGGTAATATTATTGACTTTTTTCTTGCTCACTACCCTATTAAAAAAACAAAACTCTGTAAAGTCATCCATATTTTAAAAGAAATTCACCCAACTCTTTAAGGAAAAAAAGGCAAAGCAAGTGAAGAAAGTATGTCAAGGTGAGTGGTCACTCAAAGTAACATCATCAATTTCTTTCCGTTTTCAGTTTGGCATTGTCCAATATGGAAAGAGGACAGCCCCTCGTGAGTTCAAATCTCAACTCCAACCAGTCTTGAAAACCACTGCAACAGTCTGAGCCTAATTTTTTTTAATCCATCAAGTGGGGATGATAATACCACATTTCATGGTTGTTTGAAGGATTAAATGCAATAATACATGATGCACCCATCTGAGGTCTGGCCTGGACCAAGTGCAACAAATACTGGTTGAGTACAGCTCTGTGCCTTGATTTTCACAGTATGTTGTTCTGAGATCCTTCTGTAAATAGAAACTTCTTTTCCCTTTGAGTAAACTTCAGAATCTACTGTGGTGAAAACACACAAAGGGGCAAGTCAAAGCATTGGCCTGAACTTGAAGTGATAGTCAGACTGCTTTTAAATGCCAAGAGATAAGTGCTTGGCATTTATCTATCTATTTTTCCTTTCTTGAAAAGAAACATCGTTACTTGGATATTTCCACTTCATCTGTTTGCCAGCTCTCTCAAGCAATTAATGATTTGTAAAATACTTAAATGCACCAGAGGAGCTACCACTTTAAAGAACTGTGTTGTAACACGAGTGATCCACACTGCCCCTAAAGCTAGACTTTTAACACCTCAAGTGTCATGAGCAGCCTTTACCTCCCCTTTCTCAAGAGAATTAACCAGGTCTGTCCTCAAGCTCTAAAGGACGGGAATGTGAAATAATTCAAGAGTGCTTTTCAAAGAGCTGAGTAGACACAGAGGAACCTATGTTTGACCTGGACAGAAAGATAGCAAAGGAAACCTGGGCATTTTTTATTTCCCGTGGCCTTGCACTTCCTACATCTGAAAATGCCAGACTAGCTTTAATCTATGAATGAAGTGAGTGACCTAGCTCATCTTGTTCCAACCTTTTATTCTAAGATTTTCATCTCTGAGAATTTAAAAGCAGTGTAACCATCACTTCAAGTTCAGGCCGATGCTGTGACTTATCCCCTTGTGTACAAGTTTTCTCCACAAAAATGTACTTCTGAGTTTGCCTTAAAAAGAAAAAGTAACCCATTGCAAAGTTCCAAAGAGACATTAGGAAATCGGGAGATGGAGACATCTCAATGCTAAAAAGCTGAACTCTAGCTGAAGCAAAGAACTTAGAGAATTATGGGTAAAGTCATAACTTACATTTCTCAGGCTTCTTCCAAGAGACTGTGCTACCTTTGAAAACCCATAACTTCGGCGAAAAACTATTCTTTCTGTATTTAAGTATCATTTATGTTTCTTTCTCTTTCCCCCTCTTGGCCAGACCCATTGATACTGTCAAAACCTTGACCTCATAATCCCAAAGTAGCCTCGCAGGAAAAAGTTGACATTGACTAGAACTTAGAATTTAGTTATAAAATAGAGAGAAAAAGCTCTAAGCATTGGAAAAACCCCACACTAATTATTTTCTCAGTACTCCTGGGACACGTTGACAAAAAAAAAGGAAGTGGGGCAAGTGCCAAAGCAGGGAAGATATATGACAAAGCCTATGTCTAAGGCTATGTCTATGTTTGTGTGCAAAAGAGAAAATCCTGAACAACTCAGCACATGTTTCCAGAGAGATTGGTGGGTTTTATTTGTTTGTTTTTACAGTCATTTTCTATGGGGAGAGGGAGTAGTGAATTGTCTGAAATATCTGGAGATGCATTCTAGAGTTAAGAAGTAAAGAAGGAAAAGTTAAGACTGGTTTAAAAATGTGCGTAGTAACCAATGGCCATGGAATGCCTGCATGTC